TTTCCCCCTGACTGAAAGCTTATGACTTTTATGTGAATAACTAACACGTGTGGGTTTTCTTGTTCTGCCTGTGTATCCTGTGCCTTTTCAAAACAAATGTGTTGACAACAGAGATTAGTAGACAGGTAGGTAACTTTGTCATGTAAAATTGCAGATAGTGCTTGCAAAAATAGTGGTGAGCTTTTAGGTGCCAGAATTATGGAGGCTGTGCGGAGTGAGGGAGATGTCAGCGTGGAAAGAGGGGTGGAGTTCCTTTGGGGACTAAAAAGTCTCTTCCCTAAGCATTTTGAGTTCACACATGCAAGATCTACTAGTAGATGAGAAACTTTTCTGGTTGTAGTGGGCTGTTGCAGAAGGAGATGTTAGAGTAATGTTTTGCACTTAGACAAAAGCAGTTAATTTGTGCTGTTGAGATAACAATCGAGTAATAACAAATGACGTGAACCTGCTTATTTGGAAAAGGAGAAGCTGATGTTTCCCAGGCTTTGTGTTTGGACTGGCTAATTCTTCGTGGGTTTGTACAGAAGCTTATTTTAAACTGGTGTGAGCTGAGGTGGTAACAGCGGAAGGAAAATACACATATTTCTGTAATTCTAAACAGTTTTACGGGCATTTAAACTTGTTTTTATACAAGTTTTCCTATGTCTTTTACTGCCACCAGCTCTTGAGCAATGTTGTTACTAATGAATCAAGAGACAGAAACGTGAAAAACCCTCAGTGATGCAAACGAGGTTGTTCCCAGAAGTGGAATATCAAGGTTATAGATTTGCTCCAGTTGTGTTTAACTTGTGAAATCTCTCCAGTTCAGGAGGCCTGCATTTTATGTCAGTGAGGTCATAAAATAAGGCCAATATCAAACATCAAGCTGTAAAGAAATAAATGCAAGCTTTCATCCTGGTTTCATAATGCTGCTGCCTAATCCAAAGTACATGGATTCATGCCAGTCATATTTTGGCCGAGCTACCAAGGATTACTTTGTTTTTTGGATTTCACTGAGTGAGATTAAAGTAATAGCTGCAGTAGGTGCTTTGGAGAAGAAAAATTCTTGCAGATAACCTTCCTGGGGACTAAGACCAGCACACTCCTTTTCCCTGGGATACAGGTGGACAAGAGCTGTGTGTGTACACATCACATCAGGGTGTTTTGGTGATGCCAGAGACTTTGAGTATTTCAGGGTCCCTCCCACAGCCTCATTGGCAATCATTAACTTTGTTAGGCTTGAACCCAAACAAGAGTTCCGTGATAGGGTGCTAAAGAAGTGTTTGCCTTTCTTGGTGGGACTGTAAGCTTCAGGCGCTGTGGCCTGAGATAGTGCTGGTTGGGAACACAGGTTACATCAGCTCCGGCCCAGCCTGGGGATGTGTTTTGAGACAACCGAGTTTTGGTATCCTTGTTGCTAGTGTTTGTTTTGAGTTTTCCATAACAATTGGAAATGGTTTTTGTTGTAGCCCTAGTATAGTCCTGGAGCAAGTAAGAACACAGTTTGTTATCTGTGCCCAAACTGCTGTGCTCTCATTTTTGCTTGAGAGTGAGAGCAGTCATGTTTGTTCTTGAGGGGTTGGGTTGTTTTAGTCTTTTGTCACTAGCTGGATACTGAATACATGCAGGGAAAGGGCTGCAGGATTTAAAGAAATGTGGAAAGAACTCTTATTTTGAATTCACTATTTGTCTAGCTGTGTTACTTCAAAAGATGTGAAAGCCTTTTAGTGTTTCATGTGTCACATTTGCCTACTTCCATGTATTATTGTTGGTTTTTTTTCTCGATTCTGCTGCCTGGTTTTTTTCATCTTCTAGTCCGTGTGGGACTATTGTCTCACTGAGTACTCTGATGGTAATAATGCCGTGATGGAAGTGATGTTAAGCACCTCTGTAAGCCTTTCCATTGCTTGTGGAGAATGAAATCTAGGGGGGTATTAGGATCTAGTTGATCTGATTCTCAAAGTGCTAAGTGACAGCCTCATGGAGATCTGTTCTCCCCTGGATTTGGGCCATTCTCACGCACACAGATCATCATGGTACATCTTTGGTGTTCAGTCTGTAAATATAAAACAAATCTAAGACATAACTGACAAAACCCCTCATGGCAACAACCACCCACATTATTTCCAAATAAAGAATCAGTCAAGTGAATCAGAAATGCAATGGCATGAAATGTGGGCCAGTATTTTCAGTGGGGATGATTCTGAAGCTGTTGGCACCTGTGATCTCTGATGTGTGTGGTGCTGTGGCAGTGTATTTGTGTGGCCAGGTATTGAATAGCACAAAGGATGGATCTAGCCAAAAACTTGCCCCAAAACTGAGAAGTGTTATGGGATGTTTTTGAGATTTGGTTTTGGGGTGGGGTTTTTTGTCTGGTTTTGTTTTACTGTAATTGTCTAAAAGCAGAGTGTGGGGTGACTGGTTTGAGTGCATCTGTGATTGTGAGGTTTTGTGGGAGTGCTGCAGTGTTTCCTTCTGACATCTCTAGACAAGCAGCATGTTTTTTTACCCTGTGTCACTTTATCCTGGCATGATTTGGTAACGGACAGACACTGCAGTGAGTCCTGCGAGAGCAATCAGGTTTCCAGAGCAGTCGTTGGAAGCTTGTTGGCTGGGAACTGATTAACAGATAAATATCTACACCAGAATCATGTGTCTGAATTGATTAGACGTGATAATCAGATCACTCCATCACTGATCCACTTGCATGTGACTATTTAAAGCAGGAGATGCAAACATTGGAAACCCTGTAAGAACAACACACTGTCTACAGAGAGCTGCAGGCTCACCAGGCCTGGGCTCTGTTAGGCAGTAGGGCAGAAGGGGAGAAAGAGAGTAAGTGTCACCAGCAATCTTCAGGTGACTGTAGTTACCCTTCAGTTTATCTAGTTTGCTGTTGGGACACTCATCTTACAGGACAAGTCAAACCAAAATTCAGCCAAATATCCTTTTACCTGAGAGTGTTTCTCAGACATGGCTGAACAATTATGCTGGTGTGAGACTTAGATCTGGAAGGGGCTGTGTCTGGGTTTCACTGGCAAAGCCTGAATCTGGACCTTGTTGCAGTGTTTTGTATGGCACATTATCATCTGTTTGGCTTGTCTCCTCCTGCTCTTTCTCTGTATGTTGGCAATTAAGGATAACTGCATGTCTCTCCCACTCAGCACTGCCCAGAGAGAGCTCTCAGCCCTGAAATATGGACGTGATCTGGTACTGCCATGCTATAGGAGGTTTTTGTCATGGCAAATCATTTGGTAAGGGAAAAAGCTTAGATTCCATAAACCTGAAGTGTAACTGTGACACTTTGCATTACCTTTGTCAGCGAATCTGACTGTTAGTACTTTTGTGATAGTGCTTTAAATGGAATGTAATCCTTTTTGGTGTATCTAGGACCAGTGGAGACAGGTGGCTTAGAGGTCACTCCAGAAACAGTTGTTCATCTTCACCTACTGTGGTGCTCAGTTGTTTTTCTCCACATCAGATCTGAATAGGCTGAGCTACATCAGAGGGAGTAAATACCTCAAGGATCAGATATTCAGGCTGACCAGTCTGAGCCAGGGCTGTGTGTTGCTTTGCCTAGTAAGGCTATAGGTTCCTAAATACCATGTCAAAATTTGACTTTAATATAAAAAGTCTCTTTCCGAAGTGTAACAGTTAAATTTCAGCAAGATTTGATTGAGAGAAAGGTGGTGACTTTTGATCAAAGGCACTCAATAGGCTTAAGGGAAAGGTCTAATTACAAAGTATTTTGATCTGAAATATTAAAAACAAAGGCTGAGTATGGTTTCAGAATTTCTTTGCTTTGAAAATACAAAGGTTTTTGAATTGCTACAAAATTGATAGAATTGTAAAAATTACAAAAGTTCGTGAGGTTTTCCGTAAAATATTTGGAAACCTGCTACATTTGTCCCCCTGTTCTGTGTTTGTTCTGTGGCAGTTGACAAGTAGCAGGGCTGAGTGTTCCTAAGTACAGCTGTGTAGCTGCTGCTGGTAACTGGTGTCTCTGTAATAGTTTGTAATGCTGTGCTGGTACTGTAAGCAAAGTGAGTCTTTTTCCCCAGAGACCCTGGGTGCACGAGTGCCGGGGTGGAGGTGTTTGTGGGCCCATCCTGTGCCTTCCCAGGTTTCCAGAGCAGTGCTGTAAGCCAAGGGAACATTTCCCCTGGCACACTTGGTGACTGGGAATGCAGTGGCTGCCTCGTTAAACTGATGGCAGAGCTGGCAACAGACAATGATGTGTTTGATTTCAGTTGGTGTATTTGATTTCAAGTTGAGCGAAATAACCATCTAAAATGCCCATCTTGCTTTTCTTCCCCACCCCCCGTATTTCTGGGATGAGGTAGGCTGGGGAGTCAGACAATTGTGCTGTTCATGAATTATGAAGTGCTGAAATGCTAACAAACCCCTATTGTTTGCTCTCTCTCTCCAGCGCTGTGTGGTGCTGCGGTTTTTGAAGTCCCCCCCCAACCAGAATAAGGTAAGATTCAACATGTCCTGTTGCTAAAAGCCATCAGGTAAGCTAATAGCCACTTTGAGGAGAAACAAGAAACCTGTGAAAGAGCTGTGAGTGGCAGGAGTAAGAACAAGGGGATGTTTTGAAATGTGCCTGTGCTTCAGGGGTTTTGGCAACAGGAGGAAATTTGAGGTCGTCTAAGCTGATGTGACTGCTGATAGCGAGACCTTTGTGTGGGGCAGAGTGTGATGCTGCCATGTGTAGAGGGTGCAGCTTTCTGTAAGGGTAGCTGTGGCACAGAGACAGGAGTCATGTTCCATATCAGCGTGCGAGCTGTGATGCTGAGGAAAAAATGACAGTTTTACTCATTGGTCATAGGTGGGGCAGAACAGGAGCAGCACAGGGCTGGTGTAAAGGTAAAACTCTGCTGTTGAGCCCCTATTCAGTAGCTAAAAAGCCGTGGAATTTGAACAAAGACACAAAATATGCACAGAATAGCCTTTGTCAGCAAGTGATTTTAGTGTCTGTTGCAAAAAAAGAACATGGCAGGACACAGTCTCCCAGTTTCTTGGATGGTAGAATAAGGTTTTTCTGCTCGAGAAGGAACTGGAGTTCCTCCAGATGTCTTTTAACAGGGGTAAAAAATGATCAAGAATCAAAGGGTTAGTGGAGGGTAAACACAGTGTTCCAAGGAAAAAAAAAAGAGAGCACAGGAGGTTCAAATCCTTTCATTTCCTCAACCTTGAGAGGAGTCTTTAGGGTGTGTTCCCGGAGAGATCCAGTCTTGAGTTACAGCAGCTCCTGCACCACAGCTCTGTGAGGCTCAGTGGCAGAGGCAGAGTGTTCTGATGAGAGAAATACGAAAAGCATTGCAGGACACTGAGAACTGATGTGTATGTGCTCAATTTTAGGAAAAAAGGAACAAGGATGAATGTAAATTAAATGTCTAGGAAGGGCATTTCGTTGCTTTTAATCAGGAAGGTGAATGTGAAAAGCATTCAGTGTAACAAGGGACTAAGGAGAAGTGTCTAGAGTAAAGCAGAGCAGAGCAAAGCCCATGGATGCAGTGTATGTGTGAGTTATTTGATGGCCTTCCTGCTAAGATTTTACTGGAAAAAGAGTCTGGTAAAGTGCTATTCAAGTCAGTTTCTGAGCTGCTTCCAGTAACAGCATTTCAAAAGTGTATCTTGTGCTTCTGTTGTAACCCAAGAGGATAATGTTAAGAGTTTTTCCAAGAACATGGAAGAGTCCAGTGGATTGCAAGGAAAGGAAAGGAAATAGTGCTTATCTCAATTTTAATGTAGGAAGGAAGAGCTAGACCACAAGTATGAGTAAAAAGTCAGTCTGTTTAAGGAAATAAAACAAAGTACCAGCTTTTTTTCCTTTCTTTTTTATTTCAAGTTGGAAGAGATTGGTACATAGTAATTGTTCTTAAAAAGTTGGCGAAGTATGACAGAGTCCCAGGGGAACCCAAGGCAGTGACTGACTGTTCCATTACCACAGCAGAGGGGTTGATAATACTGCTGTGAACTGCTTTGGCATGTGCTTTATGCATTGGCATAGTGAAACACAAGGTAAAACCCTCCTGGGCATGGTGTTCTCTTGGGATTTGAACACTGCTCAGCTTCTTGAATGTTTTTTATGTTAGCAGCCTTGCTCAGGATCCTACCAAGCACAGAGGTAGAGCACAGCAAGTATTCCTGAGGGCAGCAGGTATTCCTGAGGGCTTCAGCTGATGAAGCATCAAGAGTTTGTCTTTTGGAGGCTGTTAGCAAAGCTTCCATTCAGAGCTGCCCCAGCCAGCCACACCTCTAAAAGGCTGGTCATGGATGTGTGCAGTGACAGAGTGAACCTCTGAGAGAGGTTTACGCAGTGTCTCTCTGAGTTGCCACTCAGGATGGATCAGTGCTCAGCACCCTGTTCGTGTACAGGTGTTGCATTTTGAGCAGAGCTGGATTGTGGGCAGCTCCAGCATTCTGCATTGGCCTTGTCTTGGGATTGTGTGGCCTTTGTGATACACAATTCCTTGCAGCTTTCCCTCTAAATAGAAGATGATGAATAAGTAAATATATTTACTTATTCTGATGATTGATTTTTTTCAAAGGATTGTTTTTTTTCTTGGAGCAGAAGACTAAATATTTTATCTTCAGAGCAGTAAACAAATGCTGGAGAATCAGAGTTTTGGGCAGAATTTACACATAGCAACATGAGAGCTGTAGAGAAGGAAATGTTTTTGAGGGGTAATCTGTATTCCTGACTGGTGCAAGATGAGTTAGGATCTAAAGTGTTCTGTATCTATGCATGACATTGCAGCTCATCCAAAGCAAACAGTGCTGAAGGCAGCAGCTGAGCCAAATATTTTCTATTAAGTCACACACTGAAAGTCAGATGTGAACAGATAGGTCTCAGTTATAGGTTATGAATTTGGGATTAGATAATCCGGTAGTCACACAAGGTGGTGTTGTGAATTGTAATCTGATTGTTCCAGTTCAGCCTTCTAATGAAAGTACTCAGTAATGTGACTCTGGGGCTTGCACTGCTGCAGTAGAAAGTCAAGTGTAGGACTTATGGAATGATTTTCATTGCATATTGCTAGCTTTAGTTTATGAGACTTCTGCATTAATGATTTTTTTTGGTCTTTTTATTGTGTGGAACCTATTTTGGGTTTCAGTGAATGAGCTGGCAGATATTGAAGGGTGATGCTCTACTAGGCTGTTAGTTGCCTTTTGTTTTGTTTAGATGTATCGAATACACTTGCTCCTAAGAGGTGGTGAGCAGGTGTCATAAGCTTGTTTTGGCATTCTGAAGTTGTGTTTATCCTTTGCACTGGTGAGTCTTTCCTTCTAGTAATAGTAGTAGCAGTGAAGGCCCTGATTTTTCTGAAATGCTTATTTCTCAGTGTGTATATACACATACATACATATATATGTGTTAAAACAAACAAAAGACAAATCTGTGGGTGCTCTGCACATCAGCAAACCAGGTGAGAATCATCTGTGCATGGGAATTAGGTGAGATTTCTGTTACTGGTGAGATGATGCAGTGTTCCTGCTCGCCATTCACAATTTGTGTATGTTAAAGAAGTGGTTATGTTGCCATTAAAGGGGCAGAATTCTGTATATAAATCAACATTCTTGCTATGGTATGTGCACAGAATTGCCAATTTCCACTTACCAGGTGAGGAAAGATACTGTAACTATTGATGTTTTATATTGCCTGTGGGTTTCTTCTTGGCAAAGCAGCTTAGTTCCTCAGCCTGAAGAAATAACAGCTGAGGGAAGATGTGTTTGCAGAGTGTGCAGGGTGAGAGTGGAGGGCTGAGGAGCAGGGCTGTTCCAGGTGCTGGGCTGCAGTGCCTGCTGGTCCAGAGAAGAGGAGCTCGAGCTGCTGAGCCACTCGGACAGATCTCCGTGGGCTCAGCACTAGAGCCAGAGCAGTGACCTTCCCTGGAAGCACAGACTGAGCCACACTGCCTGAGATAACCTCCTGCACACCCGTGTGGGTGGCCTGCTGCACAGCTTGTTGCCTATTAATTATTTCTGTTTTAATACACTTCTTCAGACTACAGGGCTGTGATTGATAAAGTTGTTCAGGCATCTTAGCGTGTGTTTTGTTCTAAGACTCAAGCAGTGGAAGACTGCCCGTCGGGAAGAGACTCCAAGCTTACTTTGGCTCTCTTAAAAGGATTCAGGGAGGGTTATTCTGAGGAACAACTCCACATACAGTATGCCAAGCATTTCAAAGAGTCACTGCTGTCCTGGCTTGTATAGAATGATAGAAATGCTGTGTAAGTGCTGTGGGGAAAAAAAAATAAAATCTCCCCGTTGTGATGGTGTTCTAAAATCAAGTTGGTAAGACTGCCTGGCTAGTGATAGTCTCCTTTTCCCTGTAACATCTCGAATTTGTGTTGGATGTGGTCTTTCTTCCTTTCTCTACACTTTGTCAGTATCTGACTGTTGTCCTCCAGCATTCTGTTTTCTCTGCTCTGTTTATATTGTTTTCCTCCTGAGCTTGTTGTTTTCCCTCTCTGATTTTCCAGCATGTATGTGAGCCTTGCACTTTCTCTTCCTCCACTTAATTCCAGTGTGGGGATTGGTGGGTTTTTTTGTGTTACAAGAGGAGCTTGTAGATTGTATGTTGTAAAAATAAAATACCGTGCAGAGAACCAGAGTGTGCTGGAGTGCTGGGAATGGGATAATATTGCTGTAAAGCTCCTTTGATCCCTCTTTAACGAGGAGGAGTCTGTCAAAGTCTACATGTGGTAATGTCCCTGTCCTGATTCCATCTTTTCTGTCTGTCTCTTGGCAATTTCGTCTTGGTGTTCCAAGCCTCTCCTGCACTCCAGCTCTTGGTAGAAAGGTTTGAGCTGTTTAAGAACAATGGTCAAAGGCAGAGTTGATCTTGAGTAATCTCCCCCTCTTCTGCCTTTTAATTTTCTCTTTCCTTTTTCCCCTGAAACTCAAGCAGGATCATCTCCTCTGACTGTTTTGCTGTTTGTCCCAGCCCCTGAGGCAGCGCTAGGGAAACAAATGTAGAACATGTTTGATGTGTCTGTTTAATTTCAGTGCTCTGACCTACAGCAATTAAGCTCCTTTGCTAAATCGCTGACTAGGATGTGTATGTATTCTGGAGCCTTGTTTATCATTATTTCAGAGGTAAATTACCATGTTTCTCTCTTCCAGACTTCTGAGGAAATACTGCACCATCTGCAAAACATTGTAGACTTCGGAAAACATGTGATGAAGCAGTTCTTTGGGGAGAACTACGTTCACCATGGGGTAATTGTTGGTTTTTTTCCTTAAAATAAATGCATTATAAAAACTGAAGTGTTTGAGGGAGCACTGAATGCCAGTAAAAGGAACTCATAGGGTTTGCTGATATTCCCAAAGAAGAAACACACATTTGGATGAGAGCTGAGATCCTGCTCTGTGCTGCTGAGGTAGTTAGATTGTGCTCTGTGATTTGAGCTATTTCAAGCAGCTAATGAAGGAGTGGTCATTTCATTGCCCTGCATAAGGCCAGAGGTGTGTGTGAGAGTTTTTTTAGACTAACTGCAAAACCAGGGGAAGAAACCTGGTTTATGTAAGCTGTTGAGGTTTCTGTGCAGTCAGAGGTGACCTTTTCCCTTGCCACTCTGTTCTTTAGGGCAGCCAGAGCTTGTTCACTGAACATCAGATACCTGAGCAAGAAAGTTACACAACTCTGCCTTGGAAGGTGGGCTGTGAGGATGAAATTGGACTTTCTCATTTCTGGAAAGGACTGAATTATGCAGATTTGTTCATGGTCATTAAAGTTTCACTGAAAATACTCTTTCTCCTGCATTTATTTCAAATTGGGGCTTTGTTTTCATAGCAGAGCAAGTATTGCCTGTGATTGCAGGCACAGGGCTGTGTAGACAGTTAATCAGAGGGAGAAGCTGCTGACTGTATTTTACTGTTGTGAGCACCCACTCCCACTTTAAGACCCCCAAACTGGGTATTAATTTTTGTGTTGAAATATATGTTTTCTTTTTTGTTTTCTATAGGAAATTATTCAACTGCCTTTAGATTTTGTAAGACAGCTCTGTTTGAAAATCCAGCCAGAGAGGCCAGGTGAGTGCACTCAAAGGGTTTCCTCAAGCTGTAAAGCATTTTTCTTTGTTCTAAAGTAGAAAAGCATCGTGCCTCAGAATATAAGGAAACCTTTTTAGCCTCTAGAGAAGTTGAAAATTTGTTGTGGAAAAAATCGGTGTGTTATAAAACTAAAAGTTGGATCTGATATCAGTTTCATCAAACTGGGGAAAGGGAACCTCTCTAAGTGCTTGGTAATTCCTGAACAAGCCTTCACCTTGCTGTGAAGTCCTTTACCAAGGTTGGGAAGGAGGTGGCATACATGTCCCTAATTTGTTTCAAGTCCATCAGTTTCTGCTCCTGGTCTGTGCAGCAGGGCTTTGGAAGGGAGTTTCAGACTCTCCACACAAAATGGTTTTGTTTCCAATGTGAGTGTTTCACTTGGTACTAAGCATCTTGTGTCTCATGAGTTCTAGCACACAACAAGCCATGTGCAATGTCATGTTCCAGGTCTTCATGTCCCTTTGCTGACAGCTGGGCACGTCCTGTTGCAAGGGGTTGCAGTGCTCCAGGTTAGAGTGCACCCCTGGGATATGGGCTGTGCTGGATTCCCCAGCTCTGGGGTGCTCTGGGTCCCTGGCCAGAGGTGAGGTGCAGGTGTGCTATTCAGTGCCCTGAACAGGGGCATTGACAGGGACGAGTGTGCTGACCTGGTGGCACCTTTTGGGACGTGCTGCAAGACTGGAAGTGTGGCAATCTGTGACGTGTTTGGTGTGAAGGGAAGTGCTGTGGCATGTGGTGTTGTCTCTCCCAGTCAGCAGCACCCGGGGGCTTTGTTCTTCCTGTGTGTCTGAGAGTGCAGTGAGGTGTGAGCTGTAAAACAGGCAGAGATGGACCCTCGTGGTGTGATCATCTTATGTTTTCAGATGTTCTTGAGAGTGGCCAGAAACTCCTGCTTTAGCAAAGGCCCTTGAAGGAAACGTGGTATTAAATCAAAGTACTGTAGTGAGAGCTTTGATGCCTTTGATCCAGGAAAAAAAAAGGAATAGATTTACATACAGTGAACACAGGACACTCTCCATTGTTGGTTTGTCCTCACCTGTTTGAGAAGCAGTTCCACAGTGCCAGAAACCAGCAAGGATGGTAAATGGTGTCTAATAAAAGTTACAAAACTGCTGACACTCCACTAGAGGTGAATGATAGAATTTAGTTCTGTTTCTTGCAGTTAAACTGCGTGTGCCCACAGCTCCTGGGGCTTCAGTTGTGGTTGTGAGGAGCTGTCCAAGTGCTTTACAACAGCAGATATCACTGCTCAGTTGTAATGAAGCTTTTTTTAAACCTTGAGGAAAGAATTGCCTTCAATACTACCTTTCACATAAGCCTGTGCAGCATAGAAAGGAGCTTACCTAATACTTCACATTTCTGGGTCTGATTTGGCAAGTGGCTTTCAACTGTGAAGGTGGATGTACTTTTGGCTTAAATTTAGAAGAAAGTTTTGTTGAAGACAAGGTTTGTTGTTCATCCTGGTGAAGTGCAGTATGTCACCACAGGCTGGTGCCTAATGAGGCTTCAGTTTCTGAGCTTTATTTTTCTGTTGCAATACATTTTTCAGATGAGCATTTTTCTTAGCAATGGAAACTCTAACAGAGCCAAGCATTTCTGTGTCTCCTCAGCAACACAGCTGATAACTTTGAACTGGAATCTCACAGACCTCTCTGTCCCCAAAGGATACATTAGAGAGAGGTTATTTAAAGACTTTGGCTGAATAATACCTCCTGAGTTTGTGATATTCCTGCCAGCTGGGCATCCTCCAGGTGGGAGGTTATGCAGCTTTAGTAAGCCAACACAAGATCACACCTTTGAATAAATACACTAATAAGTCACTTTACCTGTTGTTGGCCAATGCACTTCCTTGACATGCCAGGCCTCACCTTTCTTGGGATGAGCTGGGAGCTGAACATTAACAACAGCTCTTGGGACACTCCATATGCCTGTGACAGTTTGGAGGAAGCTGAAACCAGGTGTGGGTAATGGGGAGGGCAGATTTGTGCAAGTGCAGAATTGGCTGAAGCCTGCAAACCTGTCCCCTGTCTGTCTGAGCTGGTTCCCACGCCCCAAGGTGCTTGCAGAGTAAATAATCAGTCACATACCTCATTTTCCTGTTTGTGTTGGGTTTTGTGTTTCCCCCAGAGTCGCGCTGTGACAAAGACATGGACACCCTCAGTGGTTATGCAATGTGCCTTCCCAACCTCACCAGGCTGCAGAGCTACCGCTTGGCGGAGCACAGGCCCATCCTCTGCATAGAGATTAAGGTATGGGTAGAGGAGGATCCTCCCGGGGCTTTTGTTTGCATTTGGAAAGTACATACAGAGCAGTTCTCGAGGAATGCAGCAGTGGGATGAGGCAGAGCTCACCCTTTTCACTGTGACCCATAGGAGGAAATAACCCCCACCTTCTTTCAATTCCTGGTCTTTCAAAACTCGGGCAATTCCCAGGTGTTGCCAGGCTGTTCTGTAGGCTACAGCAGCTTTGTGTGTCCTTATTTCTTATAATAATTTCTCTAAAATAATCGGGAGCAATATTCTTTTTTTAAGTGCTGGATTTTTTTAAATTAGGTCTGGAAAACATGTCATATGAGGAAGGGCTGAGGGAACTGGGTTTGTTTAGAGAAGAGGCTCAGGGGTGACCTCATGGCTCTCTACAACTACCTGACAGGGGCTGTGGAGAGGTGTGGGATGGTCTCTCCTGCCATGGCTGCAGGGAGAGGACTAGAGGGAATGAATGGCCATAAGCTGAGACAAGGGAGAGTGAGATTAGATACTAGGAAAAATGTTTTCCCTGTTAGGGTGTTCAGGCACTGGGATATTGCCCAGGGAGGTGGTGGAGTCACCATCCCTGGAAGTGCTTAAGAGGTATCTGAATCTAGTGCTGGAGGATCTGGTTTAGGGGTTGCACTAGTGACAGGTTAATGGTTGGACTCGATGATTTTAGAGGTCTCCTTCAACCTTGATGATTCTATGAGTCTAACTGGTTTTTTAAATTTTTCCTTTGACTGGAAGGATTTGGATATTGTGTGCATTTATATTTCTATAGAGAAATACATTTATACTTACAGTTTTTGTTTGTTTGTTTGTTTGTTTGTTTTAGCCCAAGTGTGGCTTCATCCCTTTTTCCAGCCATGTTTCACAGGAGATAAAGCACAAGGTGTGTCGTTACTGTATGCATCAGCATCTAAAGGTAATTAGTTGGATGTTATGCTGCTGTCCTGTGGCTGTCCTGTGCCTGTTTGCTGTTCAGGGTTTGTTTCCTGTTGAAATCTTGCTCAAATCTGCCATATGACTAAAGCTGGGAGGTGGATACACAGTTGCTGGGTGTGAGTTTGTTTAGTGACAGATGGAACAAGTTCTGTGGGAAGCTGGAAGCAAACAAATACACTATCAGTCTTTGGGGACTGTGAGCACTGCTGATTGGGTGAACTCCAGTGTGGAACTTCCTTTCAAGTTCAGCTCACCGAGTGCATTCTATGACTTAAAACAAACAGCATGTAACACGCACAGAGTTCACTGTACTCGTGTGCATTGTGTGTCTGAAATGGTGTGACTGGGCCTCGCTGACTTGGCATGACCTTTCTCCCTTTGTGAATGCACTTAGAGTGACTTGAGCTAAATATGACCAGGAAGACCCATGGTAGTAATGAATTTTGTGCCCAAAGAGTTGGAAATGTCGTGGGAGCTCTGTCAGTGCCACACACCTGACTGTTAACACAACAGGGAGTGGACACTCCAGGGTGGTTAACAGCAGTACTCTGGGTTTTCCACAGGTAGCAAACGGAAAATGGAAGCGACCAAGTAAATATTGCCCATTGGATCTCTTCTCAGGGTAAGGATTCTGTGGTTTTGCCAGAAAAAAAGTCTGTGTTACAGACTTTTCTTGGATTGCTTTGCCTTTTGCTGAGGTATTAAGGATGAAGAATGCCTGCTGGTCTGACCTTTACAGTGAGCATGTCTGGTGCTGCCTCTTTACACCCATCTCAGGAACCAGAGCTGCTTATTAATGTAGCAGTGCCTTGTGCTGCATAACGTGAGCCCTAAGAGCTGTTTAGTTTACTCAGATTTGAAGTTAACTTTGCTTTTGCAGTGACCTCAGTGTAAGCTAAGAGCCTCGAGTGGGTGTGCTCACATCAGGTGCCTGGTCCTGGTGCCCCAGGGCCCTCCCTTAGGCGCTGTGTGAACACCCAAAGGCTGTGAGAAAACATTCTCAGCTTTGTGTTGTTTTTTTTTTTCCCTAGAAATAAACAGAGAATGCACTTTGCTTTGAAGAGCTTATTACAGGAGGCACAGAACAACTTGAAAATATTTAAGGTAAAAAATCAAATCTGTTTGCTTTTTTTGCCTTGGCTTTTAAACAATTTACCTTCAGCAGCTAAACAGTCAAGATCCTATGTCCAGCCTACCTGATCATCACCATCCCTGATGCACCAAAAGAAGGAAATGGGAAAATTCTTAGTTGGATTTCAGGTTAGGACAGATAAGTAATGAGTTCCCAGAATTCCCAAACCCCTAGAATATCCTGAGCTGGAAGGGACTTTTTGCCTTGGCTTTTAAACAATTTACCTTCAGCAGCTAAACAGTCAAGATCCTATGTCCAGCCTACCTGATCATCACCATCCCTGATGCACCAAAAGAAGGAAATGGGAAAATTCTTAGTTGGATTTCAGGTTAGGACAGATAAGTAATGAGTTCCCAGAATTCCCAAACCCCTAGAATATCCTGAGCTGGAAGGGACCCACAAGAACCATTGAACTGAACTCCCATTGAACTCCAACCCCAGGCCCTGCCCAGGACACCCTAACAATCCCACCATGTGCCTGAGAGCAGTGTCCAAACACTCCTTGAGCTCTGTCAGGCTTGGGGCTGTGACCACTGCCCTGGGGAATTCATTAGTCTAAAAGAATGACTGAGGAACAAATAATAGAAAAAGATGTCTAAGGTGACCAAAGTTTTAAAACTGTGTGTGCTGCTTCAGAAGGAAGAAGATGGAGAACTTTGTTGCTGCAAATATTTTGCTTTTAAATTCCTGTTAGAGCATTGATGCAGGCCAAGTGCACAGCAGGTCTCACTGGGAAGGGAAGAGTCACCTTCTCTGTGGCATTCATGTAGGAAAAATATAAAGCAGTAACTGATGGCTTATGCAGCTTGTCAGACTAATTCTAGGAAACAAGATTCTTTGCAATTTATTTCCAGTATGAAATCAACTCTTTGAATTACTTAAAGTGGTATGAACTCTCCTATGTTTCCTGTTAGTGCAGGTAACTATCACACCTTTCCTGGCCCCTTTTACAGCCTTCCCTGTGCCAGTGTGGCTGTTACAAGGAGGTTATTTCACATGGTGCTTTGTCACTCCTGACCTTATTCAGAAAGAAGTGACAGGAAAACGTGCCAAGTATTGTTGATTCGTTACAGATGCTAAAGTTGGGAAAGTGGCACTTGATTTAAATGGGGTTTTTGATCCTCATTCAAAGGTTGTTACCTGTGGTATCTGACTAAGCTCAAGTGCAGATTTGTAAGAGATTGGGAATGTTGTGTGTATATGTGTGCAGATTGTTAAGCTAATAACGCTTTTTTCTGTGCTCAAAATATCACATCTGATGCTTGGAGTAACTCAGTATGAACAACTTGATTTCCTGAAGTGCCTAAAGACTTTTTCTTTTTCCCTCGTTTCAGAATGGGGAACTAATTTATGGGTGTAAGGATGACCAGGACTGTGTCTCTGACTGGAATGAACTTGCTCGTCAGTTAAAACCTTTCTTTTTCCCTTCCAACGGGCTGGTCAGTGGCCCCCACTGCACAAGGACAATTGTCAAAGAACTGATCCACGTCATAACCATGACACTACTAAGTAGTACTGATGCCTGCAGGGCAGGTGACATGAAGACAGTTCCCATTTCACAAGGAAGAAGCTACTGTGAAGCAAGTGCTTTTAATAAGGAGCTAGTAAGAAATGGTAAGGAATAACTTCTTAAGCACTGTCAGTAATGAACTGTTCATGGAATCACAGTGGTGTGGGTTGGAAGGACCTTTACAGGCCATTTAGTCCACCCCCCTATCGTGGGCAGGGACACCTTCCACCAGACCAGGTTGCTCAGAGCCTCCTCTGATGTAGCAATTCAGATCTTTGTCTCTTGTTTGCTTAGTAATACTGACAGGAGAAGGGAAACAGTGGAGTTGTAGTGACATTTAGCAAAGCAGTTCTGAGCTGCGTAGCTGCTACATAATTGCTCTTAGTATGACATTGTAGTGAGCACTTTTAGCACTGTACCTAATGATGGGGAAAAACAGATTCAGGAGGTGGTAGAGGAAAAACAGAAGAAAATAGCAGTTTTGAGCTGGTAACAGTCAGGTATTCCACACGAGTGGGGAATTTTTGTTGTATGTGATGCAGTTGGGCTGCTTGGGTTGGTTTGTTACATGGCACCTGTTCCTTGCCTTTCCCTGCTCCTCCTGTCAGCCTTTGCCAGCTAAGGGCATTGCTCATTTTCATTTCTTCTGCTGCTCTCCTGGCAGCGAGAGAGCTATTGATCCCAGAGGGAAAAGGAATGGGAAGTCAGAATTGGAAAACTGTAAATAATGATAATTCCTCTGTGTGTAAGTTCCATAAAGCTGTAATTATTCAAGATGCTGCTAGTTACCCTAATTACACAAGCAGCATGTTTCTTACTCTGCTTTCCAGTAAGACCTTTCTCACTGCTGGTGGTTTGCTGCAGTGTTGGAGAGAGAGCTGTCTTACAGAAATTATGGCAGATAAAAATCTCTTGATGCCATATGAAAAAAGACATGGTAGCTGAGAGACTCAATTACTTTCTGCCAGCAGCGGATACTGTTCAAAGTGAATTTGTGGTGGCTTCAAACTCCAATGAGAAATTTCTCTCGCGGCCAGACAAGTAGATTGCCATGGATCTGGGTGTGTTTTGGTGGTTATTTTTTGAGTGATTTGGTGGTTTATTCTGCATCCAAGATGTGCTGTTTAAATGTGCAGGTTAGTACGTGCACCTGGCACTTCAGTGTTTGGAAAGTGAAGTGTTTTCAGGTTTCCCTTGCCCTGGACTAAAGATTGTTCGGATTTGCTTTGTGAACAAGCACATGAAGAGGCAAAGTAGAGCAAAAACAACACTTGTGTCTGCCTTATTTTAAAATCCATTTTCTTCTAGGTAAACATAAATTGGAAAGCTCTGGCTTACCGAGGGGTTGTCTCCTTTATAAAACTCTTCAGGCTCAGATGCTTGACATGCTGGATATTGAAGGACTCTATCCTTTGTACAGTAGAGTTGAACAGTATTTGGAGGAATTTCCTGAAGAGAGGTAAGACCCAATAGCTTTTCTTTTCAGTTGTGATAACCAGGTGTGAGGCAAGGTTGTCTCTGTGCAGACACTCGTTAAGTTATACAGCCTTCATGGCATTGCATATTCTGAATGTCTAACTTGAACTGCCGGATAACACGAAAGATGAGTTTTACTGGTAAAATGGTTGGTGTCAGTCACTTTGGCCTGCATTTTTAAGTGGGAAGTTCACAACAGGGTAACAGAGAAATGTGCCACTTTCCTTAGTAGTGGTTTGTGTAGCTGCAGAAAGGTACAGTGAAATGGGTGGTTGGTTTCTCCTGCCCTCAGTACCTGCGGAGGTAGGAATGTCTGGAGGGATAATGACAGTTTTACAGTCATTCTGAGGTTTGCATTGCCTACCTACACCCCATGCTTTAAAACCACAAACCCAGTATTTGGCAGCAATCCAGCCTGTGCCTGCAGGGTCGTGGAGAAGGTGTGGATCTGCTGTTGCCCACTCTGCCTTGTGTGATGAGAATAGTTGTAAATGCCAGCCTGTAACCCCCATCACAAGTGAGCAACTCATACCTGAGGCACAAGAACCTTTATCTTTATGGTACTTCGTGCCTGGGCATTGCAAGCTGCTACAATTTTTCCTCAAATAAAGCTTATTAGTGTAATAATACTTGCTATGAAAAGCCCTCGCTGGGCTGCTGTCCTCGCCTGTGCCTCTGCCATTGCTCACACGAGGGCACTCTGGCTTCACTCACCAGACTCTGCTGCTGGGGCTCCTTCAGCTCCCGGGCTCCTCGTGGAGTTGCAGGGGTATCTCATGGGCAGTGGGCTGGCCCCGGCTTGAATCACTCGCAGCATGGCATACTTGTACATTAAACTAATTCGTTTGAAAATGTACTCTTTGATCTGTGGGGTGTTTGTGTGCTGCAGACCTCAGCAGGGTTCAGGTGTTTAACAGGGGAAGGCAGGAGGCCAAACCACCCTCTGTCAGCACAAAGCTGGGGCAGAGCAGGGTCCTGGCAGATCAGCCCATACCCACAATGTTTCCAGCAAGGCTTCTGGAAGCTCCTGCAAACTGCTAGAAGTTTTGAAAACTTAGCCATTTTTTGCCAAAGACCTAACCTGCACTTTAGTGGCATACAGGTGGCAGTAGGTTAAAAACAACCTGCCTTTGAAAAAACCCACACAACCCAAATCCTAAGCAGCAGCACATCTTTGAGGGGTGTGAGCAGAGCAGGGACTGGGCGTGCTGGGAGTTGGATGTGCTTACGGGTGTTAGTGGTGGGTCCTTGTGAGTCTCTGGGCTAATGGGGAAAGATGGCACTGAGAACTAGTAAATTACCTTGGCTGTCTGTAAATCTTCTTTTAACATTTATTTAGAAGTACATTGCAGATAGATGGCCCCTACAATGAAGCGTTTTACGAGAAGCTGCTAGACCTGTCGAAGGAGGACGATGGGACGGTGGCGTTTGCCCTGACAAAGGTACTGCTGTGCACACTGTGGAGGCTTGGTCAGTGTGTCCTGTCAGGGGACACCTGTGTCCCTGGAACACATGGACAGTGGGTGGAGGCATGCTGGCAGCACCACTGGCTGGTCAGGGTCTGCACCATTGAAGTTCCTAATTGTGCCAGGTGCATCTTTACAGCAGAAGCAGTTAAAAACAAACGTGTAGCATCAGTTCTTAAGAGAAAAATAAAGCTGTTTATTTGCTTTCTAGACTGAGGAAGCATTTGCATGAGCTGGTGCTGGTTTGGCCTTCAAGAAAAGGAGCTGTAGGAAATAAACACTCTTACACAGGATGCTGCAGATGCACCTGCTACTGCCAACTGTCTGTTACAGAGATAATTTCCAGCTCTTACAGTGCCAAGATACTAGCATAGGTAGCACACTCATGCCTTTTGCAAGGAACAGGAATACTTTACTGCAGGCAAACACAAATGTCAAAGAAAATTGTTACTTTTCTGTTGTGCAGGTGCAGCAGTACAGAATAGCAATGACTGCTAAGGACTGCTCCATCATGATTGCCCTTTCTCCCTGCCTGCAAGATGAATGGTAAGAGCTGCCTGGACCTGCTTTGGAATGAATGGCTCCAGTTGTTTAGAAGTTGGAGATGTGTTTGTATGGTTCAGTCCATTCAATAACTTCTAAAAAGTGGAGGGTTTGGGAAGGGTGTCCAGCTACTTGGCAGTGAGCATATTAGCAAGATAGGGTTCTCATTTAAGGCACTTATGACCAGTGCCTGTTTCTGGAAAGTTTTAAGTTGATCAGAAGGATTAAGGTTTGATATTTTTTCCCTTCCTGAAATTTGGACTGACTGTTCATAGCAGCTCTACCTGGTTTTAACTAGGTAAAGTGTTTCTGCCTCGGTGTCCTCATATGAGAGATATTTCCAGGTGAGTTGCCTGTAACAGCCTAATTAAAATACAACCAAGGCAATAATCAAGAGGTGACATCTTTAGCTGTCACGCAGAGGCTTTGCCACAATATTGTCATCCACTTTGACCTGTGTCAGCAGTACTAGACTGTTCTTCTCAGGGAGTTTGCTTCACCAGAGCCTTGTGATTTTTAGAGGGTGCTGTTTTCTGTGTTTGTCCTGCAGTTTTCAACTGAAGTGTTGGTGATAGAGAAGACTTGTGCAAATCCTCCATCCCTCAGCATGCTTCAGCACCAGTTCCCATGCTAAATGTTTTACTACCTTGAACCTAAGTAGGAGTTGCAGTGATTCTTTCTGCTAGTTAATAAGGCTGTTGCTTTGTATGCACCACCTAGAAACAGCTTAGATGTACTAAATACAGACACAGTAGTTGAGAGTCATGTTTGACTTCAGCTGTGTGGAAGCTGAAAGGAAAACGACTGAGGTGACAGCAAGTTCCCACTAGAACAGGTAAAGCTGTAGCTTCCTAATTGCTTCATTGGCTGGAGTTTTATTTTCTTGGACTCCCACAAAGGTTCTAAGATAAACATTAGAGTCACTTTTGAAAGGGGACTTGGGACACATAAATTAGAGCTCCTGGCTTCAGTGATTCAGATGTGCAATGTGGTTTTGTTTTCCAGCTCTGAGCAAAGACCTGTGGTACTGACATCCAAATCAAGATTCACCTTTTCCGTGTCTGTGCTGGACCTGGACCTGAAGCCCTATGAAAGCATTCCTCACCAGTACAAACTGGATGGAGAGATAGTCAACTATTACCTGAAGAATGTACAGGCCAAAGATGACCCAGTCATGTCCAACCTCTTCAAGGAGAATGAAGACTGCACATTAGTTCTCCATAAAGTGTAACTTTATGTAACTTAAGGTTATTTTTATTCCAACACATTAGAAAGTGAAAGATTAATTGAATACAGTTATGGTGATTTATTTTTTTCTTTTCTATTGTGTTCAGTGCATTTTTCAGCTGTGAATGTTTTTGCTTTAGGAGATGATTTCCAACAGGCAATGCCTTCTCAGAGCCATGGATAGTGCTGAACCACATGTGCTAGGTAACCTTAATGAATGTATTTAACGAGACAGAGCAGGTAACGTGTGCCATACCTTGGGACTAGAGACAGATCAAATTAATACAAGAAGTCTACTTCCTTAGATTGAAAGAGCACAGAATTAAAGGTTTCCTCAAGTATTGCACTAACATAGCCTAATAACTAACAAGAGAATTGCCTTGGAGCCTGTGCTCTGAGTCTCACTCATCCCTGCTAGAGGGAATGCTCTGGCAAAACCTGATAAAACACTTTAGCATTAATCCACTGAAAATCCAGCTGTGCAGTGGCTGATCTGTGGAACTGCCCTGTCACTGCAGAACACTTATGTACTAATGCATGGGATTAGGAACACCAGGCTGCCTCCAGAAGTTTTGTGATCACCTTGTATCTACCTAAAGCTTCTGAAACTAAGTGCAAAGGGCAAGTATCTCAGAGTTCTGTGTGACAGCTGGGCTTAACTCCCCTGCCATACTGGTCTTCTGTTGTCTATACATTATATGCTGCTATTCAAGGTGAAACCACAGCTTGCTCTTGCCTAATTTAAATTGAGCTATAAGAATAATATGTTCTGAAGTTTTACAGATCATGTCAGGTCTTTCAGATAGTGTCAGACCTTGGCATCATTTCACTGTTGCCCCACACAGTGTAGTATGAGCAGCTGCTTTCAGGCTCCTTTTTTAAGAAAAGAGGTGACTATCCCATTTTCTTCGCTGAGGCTGCAGCAGCTCAGTCTTGTGCTGAGTGCTGGAGCTGAGCAGTGTCACTGCTGCAGGGACTTTGTGATGGCTTTGCTTTGTAAGCAGTGGCATGTGCAGCTGAAGTCTGATGAGGTGCTGCAGTAAAGCCATCCTGGGGCCAATCCTGAATTGGAGGATATATCCAAAACTGAGGGTACTATGATAAATTCTACAGCTCCTTTCACCTTGGGGACTGCACACTGTGAAAGGTGCAGATCTGCTTCTCAAGCTCCAGCCAGTGTCTGTTACCTGGATACAGCCTGTGCTTACTGGTAGTGTTGTCCAGAGTTGTGGAGGTTTAACTTTTGAAATACGTTTGTATTGGGATCTTGGTGTAACCTTTGACTTGTTCCACTTGACCTGAAATTCAGAAAGCCAACCTAGGACCCTCTGTGCATTGACACAGCTCAAGAAAAAAATGTGAAACACAGAGTAACACCACTCTCACCGTGATGGCAGTCACTTGTGTGCAGTGAGAGGTGCCATTGTGGCACCGAGCCCGGGGCTGCTGTCAGAGATGTGGCACTGAACAGAGCAATAAGCTGGTAGCTGAC